ACGAAAAATCAGTATCACTAGCGGGATTCGTACCCACGAACTTCGGCCTACAGAAAAAAATGGAGAGTGAGAGAGAAAAATAAAATAATGAATGAATATTGTTTTATTTAAAAATCTCAGGAAATTAGCCCGCGAACGACTGTTTAACGAGATAAAGTGTTGTATATTAGAGAAAGAGAAAGAGAAAGAGAGAGAGAGTAAGAGAGAGAGCGGGAAGAGAATTGAAAATTTTATTTATAAAAGCTCGTAAAATTAGGTCTAATGGACGTTTCTTAGCTTTAACGAGCTACAAATAAAGTTTAAATATTTGAAAATAAAAAACATAAATATATAATGTGTGGTGATTAGTGACCGTTAATCGATAATTATTGAGAAATCGTGAGATGCGGTCTGGTGTGATGTAGGTTTCAGAAAAATAATTTCTTTATCGTGCCAACGTTTCCTTCCCCACCCCTTCAAAATCCAACGTATATCAACATAAAACACCAAAATCTCACTGGCACTCTCAGCATGAAACGCAAGAATGGCACAATTACACAGAAGACAAACAGTTTGAGTGAGTACAAATACTTTGATTGAATATATAAAATATATTTTGCATTGTATAAATTCACTTTTCCACATCCAAAATGTAATTGTTATATGTAAACAATGTTTGTAAATCTCAGGCTCTGAAGATGACCTCAATAAAGATCGAAACGTCGGCACTATAAAGAAAATGTTTTTCTGAAACCTACATCACACCAGACCGCACCTCACGATTTCTGAATAATAATGCAAATATAATTTTTTGACTTTTTTGTATTATTTTGAGTTCTAAGTATGATTGATGAGGAAAACATTTAGATGTTTCGTATAAATATGTATAGATTGACATTATTTTATAAGATTAAACAAATGATCGAAAGTTTCATATATTTTGGAAAGATTGAATTATAAAAACCGTGTGTACACAACGGAATTTTAAATTGAATATGCACAGATTGAAAGCGTGTATAACGATTTTCCTTTTCCTTTAAAATGAGAAACAATATCGAATAGTATAAAGGTTTTTGTTATGTTATCACGTCATGAAAAAAGTCCTTTTTTATTTTAATAAATCATCAATTTTTAAAATAGATAAATTATAGTATTTGCCATTTTAGAGTCATAGTGTATATTACAGGTATAGCGAATACACATATTTTTGGAAACGTATAATTTATGAATTTTTACAGTAACGATTAGAAACTACCACAAGAACAATAAGTTAATTTATAAAGTGTTGTTGCATTAAAAAGCCTAGCTACATGGAAGTTTTATAAATATTAAATAGTTTTTTAATTGATATAGAATAGATTTTATTCTAATACAAGCTTTCAATAAGAGTATTTCACGTTAAATATTTATATATTACAAGTCTAGAATTTTTATTTTCTTGTTTAAAATTAATGTACTTTAATAAATTTTGATATCTACAGTAATATCTTTGTTTAAATTTGCCAAATGTCTGTGAGGTCCAAATAAAATATCTTTACCTTTTCTTAATTTCAATTCATAAAACATGATGATCTTTCCATTTTTTAAGATTTTATAAGGCGATTTTTTTAATATGCTTTCATTTATATTTAATCATTTTGACTTTAAATATATATTCAGGTCAACAGCATACATAAAAAGAGACAATTAATCGTTTCGTAATATATTTTATATATTATCCACTACATTACGAATTCCATTAGAGAGAGAGTGAGAGAGAGAGAGAGAGAGAAGAAAGAATGAGAGTTGAATATAAATGGATTCGTAATTAGACAGGCAGATATGATGGCTTTTACAAATAAAGGGATAATCTGAAATGAAAGATTATGATATGTAGACGTAGGTAAATAAATAGAGATATTGATAATAAGTGAAGGGAGATAGAAAGTGTGGCAACATGGGAGCAAAGAAAGATGAAACCTAGCAAATATATTGCAAAAATATAGTATTCTGAATTACTATTCAAAAATCGTGAGATGCGGTGTGGTGTGATGTAGGTTTCAGAAAAACATTTTCTTTATCGTGCCAAAGTTTCGATCTTTATTGAGATCATCTTCAGGTCTCAATAAAGATCGAAACGTTGGCACGATAAAGAAAATGTTTTTCTGAAACCTACATCACACCACACCGCATCTCACGATTTATGAATAATTATCGATTAACGGTCACTATCACTAATCACCACACATTTATATTTATCTTTTTACAATTTTTTAATTTATAATTGATTTTCATTATATAAAATTTATGTTTCATTGGTGATGTATGTTAAAATCACAATTCCTAATGCATTAAATAATTTGTGAATTAATCATTAAAAAAGTATATTTGAAATAAAAAAAGTGTTAATTCTAAAAATAAAAAGGTAATTTGACGTTCAAATGGGTTAATTGTTAATTCAAAAGGGTTATGTTGGAATTAAAATTGATTATTTTGATGTTGAAACGGGTTAATTTGAAATAAAGAAATGGTTAGTTTGATTTAAAAACGGTTTTATTTGAAACAACGGAGCCTGAGATTTACAAATATTGTTTAAATTTAACAAACCGTAAGATGTGGAAAAAAGTGAATTTATACAATGCAAAAAAATATTTTTTTAATATTCAATCAAAGTATTTGTACTCATTCAAAGTGTTTGTTTTCTGCGTTTTTGAGACATTCTTGCCACTGAAAGGACACTCTCGACACGGCACACAAGCATGTCACAATTACGCAGAAAACAAACACTTTGAGTGAGTACAAATACATTAATTAAATATAAAAAGTATAAAAACAATTGTTGCATTTATAAATTTTTGTTTTTCTCATCCTCCATGTGTAAGCGCGTCTCTTCTGTTTTGGGCCCAACCCTGAATTCGGAGAACCGAAAACAAGGTCCCAGAGGATTTCTTATGATCGGACCTGACTACATTAATTTAATTTAATGATCAGGCACCTTTTTTTGATGTATGAAATTCCAATATTCAATTCAAACCAAAATAAATACGAGACCAAAATATTAATTAAATTTAAATCTTTTATTACAATTTATTTTCAAAAAAGATTACAATTTCTTTTATTATTTTTAATTTAAAGAATCTTTTATTCCATAATAAAACTTTTATTCCATAAATAAATATTTCAGAATCTACAAACATTAATTTTAAAATCGAATTTAATTCTCCTTTTATAAAGAAAAGTAAAACTAAAACAAATTATTATTATTGTTATTATTATTAATTTTTTAACCACCAATTAAAAAATACAATTAATATTTTAACAAAACTTTTAAAATCAAATGCTATCTCTTTTAGTTTTCTTTATAAAGTAATTCAGATATCGTGAGATGCGGTCGAGTGTGATGTAGGTTTCAGAAAAACATTTTCTTTATCTTTATTTTTTCTGAAACCTACATCACACCCGACCGCATCTCACGATATCTGAATTACTATCGATTAACGGTCACTAATCTCTACACATTTCTTTATAAAAATATATTTTTTGTTACAACCCTTTTTTAAATTAAAATACAATTATTATTTTTCGTTTTTTGACGTCAAAATATAAAATTTACTCACTTGAATTGTGTGCACACCAAATTTTCTTAATTACAAATAGACAGCTCTTAACCCATGGAGGACAGAAATGGAATTTTTTTTGACTGAAAAAAAGAGCCCTTTCCTAGCCCCTACCCCTTTCACTGTCAGATGTGGGTGGAGGGGCATGGCGGTACATTCAAATCAAAACATATTTGTTAAATTTAAACAATGTTTGTAAATCCCAGGTCCTGAAGATGATCTCAATAAACATCGAAACGTTGCCACGATAAAGAAAATGTTTTTCTGAAACCTACATCACCTCAGAGCGCAGCTCACGATTTCTGAATAATCATCGACTAACGGTCACTAATCACCACACATTTTGAATTACGTAAGTTTATTAGTGACCTGCTGTTTCATAATTTGTTGAAGTCGTGAGGAGCGGTCAAGAATGAGGTAATTCAGAAATGACACAATATGACACGACAAGAATAGGATCACACTTTATGCCCGGAAGATGACCCGAACAAAGGTCGAACCATCGGCTTTTTTTAAACAAAAAGCCTATTTTCAAGTACGTTGGTATCCTGTGACCCTGCATTTGATCCCAGGACTGTCTGTTAATGTCTAAGCTTAATGACTACCGATGCCCCATAAATAATTTATTTTAATGTTGTTCTGTGTTAAATTTCAATACAATGTTGTTAAATAATAGTTAGTTATTAATTTATTCTAAGGGATGAGGAGATTAAGTGCACACACACTGACGGAATGCTTATCTTTCGTGCTCACGTTACGCTTTCATATCATTTAAGTTGAACCTGATTATTTGCCAAAATGGGATCTTCAAACTATGGTATTCAGTTGTCGTTTCCTTTCAAATTGTTCGTGAAATATCCGCCATTTTGTACAGAGGAGAATTGTATAAAGCCGCTAATGAGTTTTACAAGAAAAGGGCTAAAATGATTGCATCAGTTCAGTTAAGAGTGTTCTTAGTTAAGTGGCACCAGGTAAATGTGTTAGGGAAAAGAAGGACGAGGCGTAACTCTTCATTAGCGAGCGGGCCGAAGCCTATTCTTTATAATTTACCTTCGAGTCTATGCCGGTCCGCCCCACCTACTTCAAGCAGGAAGAAACATTTTAATTTGCTGGCAACATACTTTAATTCACAGATATTGTGGCCATCAGTAACAATTTTCTTGACGTATAAGCCCCAGGTCTAACTACACGAAATTGCTTTATAACTAAGACAAACGAGGGCTACTTGTAACTTTTATACTTCAATTAAACCTTTTCTTACTGCCTTCAACCGACTAAGACGTCTTCATAGTTTTTAATCCATTACCGGAGGTGTTCGTTGTGTGATTAATAACGTCATTCGGGCCGTAACACCCTTGTTCTTTACAAACTTTTACACATTTTTATTTCCAATAGTAACAAACTATGTTTTCAATTCTTACCTTTTCTGGGAACCAGGGGGTGACAAAAGGCATTTGGAATGTGTTGCTGTAGGAGTGAAGGGTGTCGAACGAATCAGGGCTCACCGCACCCAACATCGAAAACACCCCTCTTGAAAATTGGTTGCAAACTGAAAAAAATAAAATTAATGTAAATTAGTATAAACATACACTTTAACTATACCATATTACTGTTCAAATAATATTTTACTGTAATTCTTCCACTAAATACCATTGATAAAACATTCAACATATATAAAATTGTTTACTATAAACTAGGAATTCTACTTCAAACTCGGTTCGATTTGTCAGGACTAAATCTGAAGAAAGACATAGTGATAGTATTGTTGTCCTAGAGTAGATTTTTTGTAATGTTTATGTATCAACATACAAGAATTTTTCAACTGTGGTCTTCGTGAAATCTCAAAATTAAAAAAAAAATTATAGACTACAAAATATTTGTTCAGTCTTTCACCAGCAATAAAAAAAAACATCATTCCTAATTCTAGCCATACAGGGAGATTTTCTCAATGTTCGGCCTGAACAGTCCGAACCTTGAAGAATTCCTCAACATGTGTGGCCGCGTTTTTCAGGCCGTGGTTGGAGGAAAATCACGAACAAAATTCAATATTTTTTCTACCCTGAGGTCAAAACCACAAGACCTACCAACTCCCACGACCAGTCAGCACAGAAGCTTTTACCTTGGTGATTTCATTGGCAACAATCCTCTTTGTGAGTGAGCGCGGCATCCGTCGAGAAAATCCCAAAGAAAATCCGAATTTGGGGATTACGTTTACTTGTATTCCTACTTTAAATTTAACTATATCCAATAGGTACATTTGAACTAACTAGTTCAAATACTTTTTATTAATTACAAAAACATGTGATATTTAAAAATTTATTGGAAGAATATATTTATTAGTGTGAATAGAGTGGCTCATCCCAAATTACACGAGGAATATCGAGTTCTCCAGGGTGGGTTCTAATCCAGAAATTCTAGTGTGTGAATGAAATTTATTAGCATGAGTAGAAGGATCGAGGAATCTGTGGTAGTGAGAATAAAATGTGTGTGAATCTAATTTATTAGCGTGAATGGAGAAGCTTGTCCCCAATTATCACCAAAAATATAGAGGACTCTAGGAGAGTGTAAATGATAACCAATTGATCATGTCTTATTTTCTCAGTGCATTTATGTCATTTATTTATGTTTTCCATCCACAATTGACGAAATTCTGAGGTCTAGAGCCTTCTGCACTGCGCCCTGCATTGATCTATCGTCCCCACCCTGATTTTTATAACTCACTGGCAAGTTTCAGGTTGTTAATCAACCTCCACAACCTTGCCAGTAGTTGGCTAGTTTAGGATCTTTTTTGTGATATTTCCTATCCTAGTTGCAAGAACCTGCACGAACATAGACCTTCACAGAAATATAAAATGTGTTCTGCATTCTCCGCTTCCTGGCAATATCTTTAAGTATTCTGTCTGTATTTGTATATTTCTATGCGGTGCACGTGCTTTCTTAAGTGGCAGTGCTCAGTCAGGAGTCCAGCCAGAATCCTCATTCAGCATCAATATGAAAACAAAATGAGACTCGGTTATTGTCTTAATCGGTTTGATAAAACTTTTCTAGAGAAAGTAGAGAATAAATTTGTTGGCTTGAAAATCGAGAAAGGCAGGCAAATAAAGGAAGGAATGGCGATTTGCAGTGTATTTTGCCAGAAATCAAACAAGAACATCTGATACTGAACCAATCCCTACTTAGCAACATTTATACATTTTTTTAACCAGTGATTCCATAATTATAACTGATTTGCGTAATGTGAACTAAGCCTTACAAAAAATTCACCTAAAAATCTGATTAATGTGGTCAAAAAAATCTGTTTAGTTTATATATTTAAATAGTTGTTGAACTTTTCATAATCCCCAGAAAGTAATAAGTTTGAAAACGTCAATACCCATTGGCGAAGCTTTATTGTTGAAAATATTAACCATATATATACATATATACATACATATATATATATATATATATATATATATATATATATTGAACCGATTTCGATGAAGCTTCCACACTTTGTTTTTATTAGTTCCGGGCGGGAATAGATAATATAAATGGTGCATATAAATAATGGGCGTCAGGATTTAAAAAAAGAAGAAGAAGAGATTTCAGGAATTTATGGCGTCCATTTTAACATGTTTTCACAGTTGTCAGCTGTCCAGTCGGGCGTTCGGCTCCCGATGAGATACTAGGGGAGATATTTCCCGCCTGTTTCAAATTCCGATTTGAAGGGTTTAACAGTCAATAGACGCAAAAACTACGCTACCACTCTATACTCGCGAAAATTACTGGTTATAGTTGCAAAACTCATGATACAATTAGTCGAAATAAACTACAGAATTGGTTTGGCTGATTGACAGGAAGATACAAACTTCATCGTTGTATCTTTATTATAGGAAGCAGTGGTGTAGGTAGGAAAACGAACTACCAGGACGTAGCGTGACCGACGATCGTTCGATTAAGCGACACCCTCAGAATTGAGAAACGTGCACCAATTTAACGTGCATTTAGTGTACAAAGACTACAAAAACAGATTTCGTTTTACATATATGTATACAAAAACAATAATAAATTATGTAAAATATTATTAAGAATTGTTTTACTGAACTCGGTCAGTTTCAATTGAATGTGATACGTAGTTGTTGTTTTGCCAAATGGATTTATTAACATTCGGAATTTTATAAAATGTAAGATTGCGAAGTTTCGTAATGTTCAGTTGTTTAATGTTCTGTCTTTTTGACTCCGCTGGTTTTGGGATTGTATTTTGTTGACGGGAAAATGCCACGAATACGACAAAATATTGGTCGTCGCACAAATTTGCCGAGAGAATAGAAGATGAATGACAAAATAAAGCAAAAGAAGAAAAAGCAAAATGAAATGAACAAAATAGATTTCGCATGCATACATTTCACGATGCTACTGAATCATCACATCACGAAGCTCAAAATGAAGCAAGTCGAGTAAGAATTAAGACAATCTTTGCCCTATTGTCATCAAAATGAACAGCGTGACAATAGTCGATTACGCATGCAGATGAATCCATTATATCAATTGGTAAAACTTGACGGTATTGCATTTCAGTGTAATTCAGATTTTGAATATAATTTGCATCCAGTTGTGGTTGTTGAAGATAGGAACAAAGTTCGGGCACGTTTAAACTTTAAATTATGTTCATTTAATTTATATATATAACCCCCATCAAGCAATTATAATAGATTAGATAATTTAGTTGAGTTGACGACCGTTCAAATTTAACTTGTGAGGATGGGACTTTCGGTCAGGTTTTTTGGTAGTAAGGATGAAGGCTGGCAAGGACAACCGCAACAGTAGGTTGAAGACGAATTTGCAGCCGGAGCCCCCTCGTTGTTTGTAAGCCCAATTAAAGAAAAAGTACAATTAGCTCTTGTAAATCACTCTTAAAAAACTATGATAGTTTATCACCGTTTACACGGAAGTCTAGTCAAAAAAAAAAAGAAAGAAAGAAAAAAGAAAATGTTTGTTTACGTTGTTAACACTTATTTCGTCTAGGATGATAACTGTTTAACAGTCTGTAAGTTCACACTGGTATAATTTTAATTATATGTCATTATGTTAAATTAATTTTTTAAAATGTAAAATGTAACCATAGGCATCCCTGAAGATACTTTATAAATAGAATAGATGATCTTATAGTGAGAACGTGAATGTTTCCTTTTTTTTAGGAATTGATTGCGTTGTGGGATAAAATGACCTGTAACCTGTTTGCAGTTTCACGAGTCCAAAAACGGTGAGTGATTCTCGATGTTTGCCGGTAATTTACTGTAAATTACAAACTGAAATTGCTGGTGGACTGCGGGATGTAATAGATTCAACTCTATATCTATGTGTATGCACAAACATCTGCTGATTTGAGCTTATATAAATCAACAATCAGATACTTTTAAAGATAAAGATGAAGTAGTAAATTATATTACTTTTGTAAATTTTTGGGTTTATATTAGTTTTATAAGTTTTATCTGTTCACTATTAACTGCGATAATTTTGCTGTAGTATGAATTATGATTAATGACAATTAATTAAGGTTTTTAGTTGAGATGAAAAAAAATTAATGGCACGAGAGGGATTCGAACCCGCGACCTTCGGCTAGATACGCCGCTGCTCTACCACCTGAGCTATCGTGACCTCGATCCACTCGGACAACTAAAAACCTTAATTAATTGTCATGTATTAATTGGTCAAGCGGACCAGGAAAGTAGTGAATTAATGATTTAAAAATGAAGTACACTTCACTAAAGCTCTCCGTCGCCATTTCAATTGTCGTCGAGAATCCAATCCGATTACACGACTTTTGAAAAATGGCCAAAAGGAGGGAAAACTCATAAGGAGGGGTTGAGATGGGGAGTTGATGTCCGAGTGGATCGAGGTCACGATAGCTAAGGTGGTAGAGCAGCGGCGTATCTAGCCGAAGGTCGTGGGTTCGAATCCTTCTCGTGCCATTAACTTTTTTTCATCTCAACTAAAAACCTTAATTTCATTGTCATATATTAATTGGTCAAGCGGACCACGAAAGTAGTGAATTATGTTTAATCTTACATTCTAAATTTGTTACTCTCTGTTACAGAATTGAATGTTGAATGCTGATGTTTAAAATGCCACCAAAAGGGCCCGAGATTTACAAACATTGTTTAAATTTAACAAATACATGTAGCATGTGGAAAAAAGGGAATTTATATAATGCAAACAATATTTTTTATTACAATTAATTAAGGTTTTTAGTTGAGATGAAAAAAAGTTAATGGCACGAGCGGGATTCGAACCCACGATCTTCGGCTAGATACGCCGCTGCGCTACCACTTGAGCTATCGTGACCTCGATCCACTTGGACATCAACTTCCTATCTCAACCCCACCTTATGAATTTTCCCTCCTTTTTGCCATTTTTCAAACCTTAATTAATTGTAATGATTTAATTAGTCAAGCGGACCACGAAATTAGTGAATTTAAAATATTTTTTATATTCAATCAAAGTATTTCTACTCACTCAAAGTGTTTGTTTTCTGCGTAAGTTTGCCATTCTTGCGTGTCGTGTTGA